ATTATTAAATTCATAGCAATAATTTAAGTAAACATTGTCTGTATTGGCATAGATATGTTGATGATATATTGACTGCTTTTACTGGTACTAGTAGACAGTTAAATTCTTTATTAGTTTTTATCAATACTATACACCCTAATATTAAATTTACTATGGAAACAGAGAAGGATAATTCAATTAATTTTTTAGACTTAAATATTATTAAAAATAATAAAGGCCATAGTTTTGGGATATTTCATAAGCCATCACATACGGATATTACAATAAATAATAGTTCATCTCATCCATACAAACAAAAGCTGGCAGCATACAACAGTATGATCCATAGATTAGTTAATATTCCCCTTACCAAAGAGAACTTCACAAAAGAATTAAATATCATTAAACAAATCGCAGTAAATAATAATTTTAATTCAAAGTTAGTAGACAACATTTTAGAGAAAAAACTTTTTAAACAGGCTATTCAACAAGTTTATCCCATAATTAAAGATCCAAATTGCAGATATAAGAGTCTTACATATATAGGAGCTCCTAGTGAAAAGGTATCATCATATTTAAAAAACCAAAATATTAACGTAGCTTTTAAAACCAATAATACGCTTGGGAAGTATATTAAAAACAATAAGGGTAAAATTAATCCTAATAATAAATCGGGGGTATATAAATTAAATTGTGGTAGTTGTCCAAAATTGTATATTGGTCAAACAGGCCGTACTTTCAAAAAACGCTATTCCGAACATTATAATAGCTATACAAAAAACAAAAATAATTCTACTTACTCAAATCATATTTTAGCTGAAAATCATTCTTTTACAGACAACTTTGAAAATTTTACATGTAGAAAATAAGAGCCTTAAATTAAACCATTTAGAAACACTTGAAATAAATAGATTTAAAAATTCAGATAACTTACTAAATGATCAATTAGATATTAATAATTCACCCTTATTAAACCTCTTTCCCAGTTTTCTGTGAGATAATCCCGGTAATGGGCTATCTTATTGTTATTTGATGGATATTATAATCACCTAAGTACCCTTATTTACTTTAAATAGTTAGTTTATTTTGTAATGTTATTGATGTTTTCTTAAGTACTTTGTTTTGTTAAATTATTTTGTATATATATTGGATACCGAATTGTAAATAGTCACATTTGAAAAAGAAGTTGTACTTCGAAACATATGTCATGTTAGTGTTTGTTTAAAAATTTTTATTTTTTAAAATAAAAGTGTGAAAATCTACCAAATTTGGTTTTACTCTTTCAAAAAAAAAAAAAAAAAGATATTGAGTCTCTCATTAATATGTCAAATAAATTTTGTCTTTCAATTAATAGCACTAAATCAGTAGCCATACTTTTTGGAAAAAGCGCTCTTAGAAATAGATGTATCGGAAAATTAAAAATAAATGTAGGAAGAGATGAGCTAAATATCGTAAACTCTGTCAAAAACCTAGGCTTGATGGTTGATTCCGATCTACGTTTTACATCTCATGTCACAATGATGCTTCGAAGAGCTTTTGCTAATCTAAAACTAATATATGGTAGCAGGGGTGTATTAACTAAAAAAACAAAAATCATGCTTTGTGAAGCACTCGTGTTATCCCACTTAAATTATGGGGATGTAGTATTTGGGCCTGGACTTTTGAAAAGGGATCAATTAAGATTACAGCGAGTACAAAATTGTTGTATTCGGCTTATTTATAGTTTGAGAAGGTGCACACCAACTTCAAAATATTTAAAGGAATTGAAGTGGTTAAATTTAGCAGAACGACGAGTTTTACATGAATGCTTACTTTATCACAAAATTATAGTTACTGAAACACCAGCTTATTTATATAGTAAAATTCGATTCAGAACGGACGTCCATAATTTAAATTTAAGGAATAGAGGTTGTCTAACTATGCCAAAACATAAATCAGTTTTGTTTGAAGGCTGCTTTTCTTATAACATTGTTAAGTTGTACAACTGGTTACCCGATGACTTGAAATTATTCACAGATCATATATTATTCAAGTATAAATTAAAAAATGTAATGCTAGATAGAAAATTACTAATAAATTCTGTAGGTCGATAGTTATAGTTTTTAGATAAAATTAAATTTTATATTCGTTTTTATTATATTATAGTATTATTGTAATGTTATTATTGATATACTTACTGGTTCTTACTCATCTGGCTGATTTTTATTTTTTTATTTTTAAAGTTAAGATGTTAAGTTGTTTACGGTTTTGGATTTTCAATATTTTTTCTCTCATATTCGTAAAGCCATATTGTGCGCTAGATTGAATAATTATTAAGTAAACATGCAGGGCACATCTATACATCGAAAGATGTATAGGTATGTCTATCATAATACTGGTTGAGTGGAAGAGCAAAACTCTGATTTTTATCAGAGATTTTGAACTCTGCCATTTGGCAAACTATTTGTATTTATATATATTTTTTTTCTTTCTTTGTATTAGGTACTTAGTTTGGCCAATAAAAGCATTTATTATTATTATTATTATATAAAAATGGTAACTTCAAAATTAATTACTTGTTGTTATATCATCAAAAATTTAAGGAAGACACTATCTTTTGATACTTTAAAACTATGCTATTTTGGTTTGGTTCATTCAACTCTACAATATGGGTTAATATTTTGGGGTTCTTCATCATACTTTGAAAGAGCTTTTGTATCTCAAAAGAAGGTTCTGAGAGCCATGTATAAGATTACACCAACAAGATCATGTAAATAACTTTTCAAGAAAACGCAAATTTTAACACTACCTTCCTTTTTATTTTTCAACTAATTTTATACATAAAAGACAATGAGCATATATTTAAGAAAAATAAAGACCTACACTCATATGATACTAGATTAAAATTTAACGTCCATCAACCTTTTTCACGACTACAAATAAGGGACTGACAACTAAAACAACAAATGTATTAAAATATTTTTATTGTTATATTACAACGCATATATTAAATCATTTTATAATTCCATTTAATAAATTTTAACACACAATCGGAGAATCATAATGCTCGTCAATAAAATTTCTATCATGTATGAACATAACAAATTAAAAACGTTACATAATTATTTTTTTCCTGAAAATTAACAAATACAATATAATAATAATAATTAGAACTAACAAGCATTTTTTGCATTCCAAAAACATTTTTAGTTGTCTCTACTATAACTAACCACACAACTACTTTTTAATTTTACTTTTTTTTTGTTTAGATACAAGCAAATATTAATGCATGCTGTTTCTAATATAAAATCACCAAAATAGAAAAAACAGTACTAAAAAAAGTTAACCTACTTAAATATGCACAATTTTTACAATGATATAGCTATGAATTTCAAATTTGGACAACTTTTTTACAAAAAGTGTCAAAACATTTTGGTTATAATCCAATATTTAATGAGAAATATAGTTTTCAGGAACTATGACACTCTTAACTTTAAAGCCTTACAATTCCTAAAATAATTCTGCTACAAATCTAAAATTTAGACACCTTATTTATAAAAAGTGTAGAGACATTTTGTTTTAAACTCCATGTTAAAATATTGACGGAATTTGGATTGAGAAGGTGCCAAAATCGAAATTTGGTTCTTAGAAAATAAGACTCCCTTGATTTTAAAACCCCATAATGTCTAAAATAACTTAGCTTTGAATCTCAAATTGGGAAAACTTATTTAAGAAGTGTAGAGACATTTTCTTTTAAACTCCATGTTAAAATATTGACGGAATTTGGATTCAGAAGGTGCCAAAATCGAAATTTGGTTCTTAGAAAATATGACTCACTTGATTTTAAAACCTCATAATTCCTAAAATAACTTAGCTTTGAATCTCACATTGGGAAACCTTATTTAAGAAGTGTATACATTTTATTTTAAACCCCATTTTAAAATATTGAGGGGATTTGGATGGAGAAGGTGCCAAAATCGAAATTTGGTTCTTAGAAAATATGACTCACTTGATTTTAAAACCTCATAATTCCTAAAATAACTTAGCTTTGAATCTCAAATTGGGAAACCTTATTTAAGAAGTGTATACATTTTATATTAAGCCCCAGATTAAAATATTGAGGGGATTTGGATTGAGAAGGTGCCAAAATCGTAATTTGGCTCTCTTGATTTTAAAACCCCATACTTTCTAAAATAACTTAGCTTTGGATCTCAAATGAAGACATCTTATTTATAAAAAGTGTAGAGACATTTTCTTTTAAACCCCATGTTAAAATATTGACGGAATTTGGATTGAGAAGGTGCCAAAATCGAAATTTGGCTCTCTTGATTTTAAAACCCCATACTTTCTAAAATAACTTAGCTTTGGATCTCAAATGAAGACATCTTATTTATAAAAAGTGTAGAGACATTTTCTTTTACACCCCGTTTTAAAATATTGACGGGATTTGGACTGAAAAGGTGCCAAAATCGAAATTTGGTATTTAGGAGGTATGACACACTTTATTTTAAAACCTGACAATTTCTTAAATAACTCTGCTTCGGATCTCAAATTTGAACAACTTATTTATAAGTGTAGAAGCATTTTAATCCAAATTCCTTTTTAAAAACGGAATTTTGATTGATGTGGGGCCGAAATTGAAATTTGGTTTTTAGATAGTATAACACACTTTGCTTTAAAACCCCACAATTCCAAAAATAATTCTGCTACGAATCTCAAATTTTAACAACCTATTTACAAAAGGTGTAGAAACTTCTTTTTGCTACTGCCATTTTAAAATCTTGACGGGATTTTTATTGAGGGGCTAAATTAGAAATGTGCATGCTCGAATAACAGCGTAACCTAATTTCAATACTTTTTGTATAATTTCTAGTGAATAACAATAATAAAAAAAAAACTGGAATATAAAGCATTCGACAAAAAATAAATTTAAAAAAAGTTTACTTTGTATTAAAAAACAAATAAGGCAATTTTTCAGTCTATTTTGGTAGATTTCCTTCAACAAATTTAATAACAGTTCGCGACGCGGGTCATTTAGTACGTCAAGTCTCGTCTGTAGACACATCGCCTTCCTCTTTGTAAACATAAACATCAACATACCTCAAATAATGTACCAACATCGTAACCACCTTATGATGCAACAACTTATCCCCATCGTCCCAAATTTGATTCATAGCTAGACCAGTGTACTCAGAGTTTTTGGTGATTTTATTAATTTCGTCTATGCATTTTTTGAAACTTTTGAAATCAAATAAGTCCCCAGCGGCGTTTCTAACAATACAACCGCAAATAATGTGTTTATCGGTAGGATGCTTCAATAGAGAGCCCGGAGTTTTCGGAGCAGTCTTGAACGCATCTATAATCTTGAATTTCTCATCAAATTCCTTCATTTCATCAGTTATTTCATTGTCTACGGAGGAAAAGTACAAAATGACAGATTTCTCTTCCAGATCCACTAATTTATCATTGTAATCGTACACGCTGATGTAGTAATTGTTTCTTTGCGGCGTATCTTCGTTGGGGCCGAATCTGCAATACAATATCTCTATTTCCACATTTTCAAAAATAAATTCTATAATATGCTTAATGGTGGGCCAGTCTAATCTGTCCAAACCGCAACCCAACTTCGGAACGGCCAAAAATTTGACTCCGTGCTCAACGATGTGATCCCTGAGCCGCTTCATCGAATTCCAGAAGTCTTTGTACGTCGGCTTGTGATACGACCTAGGTTTCGTCACTAAATAGTAGATGTACCTATCGCCTTCATCGGTTTTTTTCTGCAACACCGCCAACCCTCCAGGTTTCTGCCTCTGCACCAGCAAATCCTCCACGCTTTTGAACTTCCTTTTGAAGCTAACGGCCACGCCCCTTCCCATTCTGAAATCTTCAGCGACGCAATGCGCCAAAGAGTACTTATCCTCCACCTCGAATAGATCTTGTTCCACCTCTTTGATTCTAAAGCTTTTGCGACCGGTTTTGGATTTTAATTCCGTTAAAAACTTCGCGTATTCTTTGTCTTGCGACTGGTAGCTTTTGTCGAACTGGTCTTCTATGTCTAGGTCCTCTTGTAAGCTGGAATTGTTAAATGAACTGTCTCGTTCCAGTTTTAAATCTCTGTACTTCTTTTTTTCTTCGAAGAGATTGTGATTACCGTTTTCTTCTTTTCTGTACTGTTTTTTGTTGCGTGTAGCTTGTTGTTTTTTGAACCTTTCTTCGTCCCATGTCGAAATTTCGGAAGATTCTTCGCTTTCTGGTGTTTGTTCTTTAAATCTGCCGTATTTCTTCTTTTCCGTTTGTAATTTTTGGCCGTCTGATTTGTTTGATTCCAAATATTCGCTTCCAGATTTTTTTCTATCTTTATCTTCATCCTCTTTGTCTTCATCTTTTGTTGAGTTTTCTGTTGATTGTGAATCATGTTTTTGTTGCCTTGGGTTGTTGTATTTTTGTTCTTTCGGGTAGTTATTTTTTCTTTGTATGCTTCTTCTTACATTTTCGTCTTCGTATTTTTTCTTTCTACTAAAATCATTATCTGCTTTGCCTTCTCTTTGCGCTTTAGTGGGATATTTCTGATTTCTGAACACGTATGATTTTTTATCGTATTTATTTTGCTCTTCATCCTGATGAACTTTAGTGTTATCTCTAGATTCTTGTTGATTATCTTCCAGTTTACCTGGAAATAAAAGTTTTAATAGTTATATTAAAAACTTATGAAACGTGTTTTGCTGTTTGTCTCTCTAACAAACACCCAAAGACCCATAGTTAAAACAAGAACAAAACTGACATCCTCTGTAGCCAAACAAGTCTGTAGATAGTACTTTTTCAAATGGGGTTTAAATACTGGATTATTAATAAAGGGGACGCGATAATGGAGTCGTACTGTTTTGGAATGTCATCATGATTATTTATGCTTTATTGTTATCAGCAAAAAAACATAAGGCATTCAAATTTGGATTGCCATCAGGATAGAACCGCGGAACTCTATAAAAAGGTTCAAAAACTACTTATTACCAAATAACCGTGTTGTTGTAATGAGCAATACAAGCTATCATAGGCGTCAATTGAATAAAGTATCAAATAGTGCAAACATTAAATGGGAAATACATAATATTCCTAGTGTAAGCTGTAAAAATTCAGTTGAATATGTAATGTAACGATAGTCTAACTTATTTATAGTTTATTTATTTAAAACACTATTTACAATTTATTTATGACGTACTATTTCATTTATATAATACTTAAGACACTAACTAACAATCCTAATTTATTTATTACACTTTAACTTTTCATTACAACGCTCTATAATCAACTGACTGCCGTCTTCAAACTCGCGATATTTATATCAAGCAATCTGTAACGAGAATACTCTAGACGGTTCCGAAAATTCCATCTCTGACTCAGCGGCACTCTCCGCCCTTTCTAGCCGTTTCTAGTGCATCAGCGGCATTCCTGAACGTTCCGTCACCTCGAGCATGAGTTGGGCGCCTGCTGAAGGTCGCGCTTGCTTTAGACACAGGGTTGGCTTAAGGAATTTCATGACATTGCCCCCTCCTTAAGAAATAGTTCCTCCTGGAACTAAAACTGAATGGTTGTATTTGCAACTGAATCCTCTTTTACAATTTCCAGTTGCATGGAAGTAACAAGGGACAGTCTTCGTTATAACCTGAACGCTGGGAGAATGGCTGCAGACCAGTATTTCAACATGGGTATCTTGAAAGATTACTTCCACCATGTTTCTAATGATCCTCCAATTCAGCTGGTTGCTCTCTATCTTTGGCATAGCTAGTTTCTGTACATTGGACTCCAATACATGCTCCCTCAGACTGAGTAATGTTTCCCATACATCATGATAGGTGGATCGATCTCTGAAGATGTTCTTTGTTACCAAATAGAAAAGATAACGCGATCCATCTTAAAGTTTTAATGCTCTTCCAGGGACTGGTAACTGATCTTGAAGTTCTGGCAATCGACCAAACTTCTTCCAGAATACAGATGCTAGCGTCATAGATGTTGGCGGAAGTGCTATGGACCAGCGAGTAGTCTTAACCGTGAGCAGGTCTTGTTGTTGCTGGGTTGTAACACCATGTCTTGCTTTTCCGGTAACTCCATATGCACCCATAAATTCTTCAAAGACATGGCCAAGTGTTTCTTGGAGCTGGTTTACTTCTTCTTCCTCTTCATGGTCACCCTCAAATGGCGCCAGCCGATTTTGGTGCACTACCTTTGGTTTACCGTTCGGGATCTTACTCGGTAAATGACATCATTGATTTTTTTTTTGATGAGGTACGGACCTTCCCAAGACCTTTGAAGCTTTGGAGAATAACCCTTTTGTCTTTTTGGGTTATGGAGCCAGACTTAATCGCCTTTCTTGAAACATCCTTCTGTGGCTTGGGTATCGTATCGCTTCTTCATTCTGTCCTGGCGATTTGAAGATGCGAGCGGACCAATTCATGCATATCGTCCATTCTTCTTCGTAACTGGAACACATAATCTTCACCAGCTACATCTTCTCTAGGTCGGCATCCAAACTCAAGGTCGCACAGGGTAGTCTCATCTCACGCCCAAACAGGCCTTTGCTGGTGTTTGGCCTGTTGATTCATTGACAGCGGATCTATAAGCCATTGCAAAGAGCGAAAGATACTGATCCCAATCTCGCTGATGGTTTGAAACTACTTTCGACAGATATTTGCCAATGGTCTTATTCATTCGTTCTACCATTCCATCGGATTGTGGGTGCAATGCTGTGGTTCTGGTTTTCTTCATGCCTAGTCTGTCACAGATTCTACGGATGAGTTTACCTTTCAAAATTTCTGCCTTGGTCTCTATGGATCTCCAAGGGAACAAATCGACAAATAAACTATTTTATCAACACATCTGCAACAGTTGCAGCCACTTGATTTGGAATGGTGTAGACTTCCACCCACTTCGTGAAATAATCCATAACCACCATCATGTATTTATTACCATTCTCGGTCGTGGGGAATGGTCCAGCAATATCTAAGGGGATCCTCTCAAATGGGCTACCAACGTTGTCTTGCTTCATGGGAGCCTTCCTTTTTCGCTGAGGTCCATTTCATAGCACAGCTGGTACATTTCTTACACCAGTCCTTTACATCATCGGAACTATTCATCCAATAAAACCTTTCACGAACTCTCTGAAGGGTTTTCCTAACACCGAGATGTCCTCCTGATGGACTGTCTTGTAACTGACGAAGTACTTCGGATACTCTACTCCTTGGAATGACCAACTGTCTTCTGTTCTCGGAACCATCATCATTTTCAAGTACTCACTTTAATAAGCCATCTTCCAGGATAAAGGAGTTCCACTGAGCCAAATACGACTTAAGTACTGGAGAGAGATTAGATACTTCTTGTCAAGTAGGTCGACGATTTTCCTCTTTCCATTGTCGCATCTTCTTTAAAACGGTATCGTTCTCTTGTTCTTCCCTAAGTTTAGCAGGGGCCCACTCATTGTTGACTACAGTTGTTCTTAGTAGTCCACTTTCTTAGGATTCCACTTTGTTGCAGTGGGAGCACTCTGCTGGACATGGTCTAGAAAGAGAATCGGCATTTCTATGGCTTATTCCGGCTCTATGTTCGATCTTAAAGTCGTACTCTTGAGGTCGTTCAATCCTTCTGGCGATTTGACCCTCCGGGTTTTTGAACTGCATCAGCCACTTAAGAGCGGCATGATCGGTACGGATTAAGAATTTCCTTCCATATAGGTATTGGTAGAAGTGTTCCACGCATTTCACAACTGCCAGAAGTTCTCTTCTCGTGATGCAGTAATTTCGCTCAGGTTTCGGAGCACTTTACAAAAATAACCCAGTACTCTTTCGTTTCCCCCTTGAATCTGTGAAAGCACTCTTCCAAGTCCCACTTCTGACACCAATGTAACGATAGACTAATTTTTTTATAGTTTATTTATTTAAAACACACTATTTACAATTTATTTATGACGTACTATTTAATTTATATAATACTTAGACACTAACTAACAATTCTAATTTATTACACTTTAACTTTTCATTACAATGCTCTGTACTAAACTGTCTATAATTAACTGACTGCCGTCTTCAAACTCGCGATATTTATATCAAGCCAACTCTGTAACCAGAATACTCTAGACGGTCCCGAAAATTCCATCTCTAACTCAACGGCACTCTCCGCCCGTTCTAGCCGTTTCTAGTGCGTCAGTGGTATTCCTGAACGTTCCGTCGCCTCGAGCATGAATCGGGTGCCAGCTGAAGGTCGCGTTAGCCTTAGACACAGGGTTGGCTTAGGAATTTCATGACAGTAATTAAAGTTGAAGATACATAAATAAACGTTTATATTACTGTTAAAATCATTGTTGTTAATCTAAATGAGGACGAGTACTGAACCAGATTTAGAAAAGTTATATTTACTACTAATATTTAAAACTTATTTATATTTTTTTTTTCTATTAACTAAATTATTTAGAGAGGCTGGCAATGAACAGGATAATCTACTAAATAATCAATTACAAATCAATAATTCGCCTCCTATTTAATCTATTGATACCTAAAACGCTGTGAGGGTAATCCTGTAAGTACCTTATGATTGGTGCTATTTAAATACAATCATTAGGAGCAGATTGCTTAAGTAGTGACGTCACGGGTGGAGCTTAATGAACCTTTCCAAACAAATAGAAAATATACAATAAATGCCCATGAATAAGAATGGTTTGTTAAATATTTCTATAAAGTGATGTTTCGTCAATAATATCAAAGGTAAGATTGTTTGATAAATTTTTTAGGGTTCCTGGGGTAAAAACAATAATATTTTTATATGAAACTAGAGTTGGGCGATTTAATAAAAAGACTGATCCACAATTTTTTTTTCTAAAGTAGCCCATGACTGACAAAGATAGAGATACCGCCATGAACGTTATAAATACGTGCGGCTCTGAATTAAATTCAAACTTAAAAAGAAGAATTGTATGCTCGACATGAATTAATTTTCCGAGGCCTACTTTATAAATATTTTTTGTGGATTACTCCTTATTATTGATATGGTTCAAACAGATATTTAGGGAATGGACTGGGGCACGTTAAATTAAATAATAAATATAGGTACCCACAAAGGAAAAATTGTATTTATAATTTTTTTCAACATAAAATATGAGATCAATCTTCATTTATTGTCACCATTATCGTTATCACTACTTGAGTAATTCATTATTTTACAAAAAATGTCTTTCTTGACTGTCTGATTCTTTAAGTAACTTTTTAGCACTTCAGAGGAAAAATGTGTTCATTTTTTAAAGGTAGTCTTCTAATCATGGATATTTTCGAATCAGAAGAGACCAATAAGTTTAATGAAGTTTGTTTCTTAATTAAATGTGTGTACCAAATTTAGTCGAATTTAAATTACTTTTTTTAATTGCGTAAAGTAACCTTTAACGTATACCAATGAGTTTAATATATTTTAGGAAAATCAAGATATTTTTTCTCAATTTACTAAAATAAAATAATTTGACTTTAAGTTGTTTTTTTATTTTTTTTTTTTATTTTGAATCCCTTTGTAAATCCCTTTTCTACGCTTCAATCTCCACAAAAAAAAACTAATAATGTTTTTTAAACTCAGAGTCCTCCAAACAGTGATAATCAATGAAAATTTATAAATATGTAGTAATTTTGTGCCAAATCAATCAAAATACATATAGGTACGCATTTTGTGTTATTGAAGAATAGTAAAGAAAGAGGGATTGTTATACATAAGTGACATTTGTTTTGTGATTCACAAGGATTTGTTAATTACAATAATATGACAGAAATCATAATAATTGGTCTACACAAAATAAATGTAGAACAAACAGCTAATTTGTTAAACTTAGTTCATAAATGTTAATATAAATTTTAAAAAACCTTGCTCATACCTCCAGCTACAAAATCCATATTATTAAAATAAATAAAACAGAAGCAAATAGAAAACAGCAATTTTAAATCAATTCTCTGTACAATTATTTGCTTTGAAATATAAACAATATGTAAACAAAATTATCTGCCTCAATTTTGCTATAAAAAACAACAAATTGATTTACCCTGTATATTGCCGAAAAAATGTTACAAATTACAAATAATTAAAAAATCTACAAACTGGTAGAAAATTCATAAAAATAGGATAAAACATCAAACCTTGTCAAAATTTTAGGGTGGCAGAATTTTGTCCTGGGGAGGGTATACTTATATTTTGTTGATTTTGGTGGTTATGTCTGGTCAAATCAAATGTCATTTGATTGGTTTAAATATATAAACCAACCAGATTCATAGTGAAGAACGAAGCATCAATAACTTTATAAATTGTGCAAACCCACGTAGGGTGCACTGAACACCAACTGAACAAAGTTTATAAATTGAGCTTTAATGCTCTTTTTGGAAAAGATAATATAAAGGTAAGATTGTATTGGAATTTGGAATCCAGCCATGTCAAAAATATCCAGTTAGATGCAGATTTAATAATGTTTATAAAAATAGGAAATTTTAATATACCTAAAGACAAAGGACTTAAATATAAATAAAATTTACCTTTGTTTTCATTTTTTTCTGCAAAATAATTGTATGTCTTTTCTTTATTTAAGGTTCTTTCAGGTCTAGATTCTTTTAAACCCAAATTTTCTATGTTTTGTCTATCTCTATCTGTATAATCTCTTCTTGAATGACTTCTTTCTTGCCTATGATCCCCTTTGTTAAAGGTTTGTTGCTGCTCTGGAAATTTTTCTCTATCCAATCTTTTGCCGGTACTCCTGTCTGCTCTGTGATCTTTATGGTCTATGTTGTCTAAACTTTGTCTGGTATTTTCTTTATAATTTGACCAGTTTCCACTTTTTTCTTGTCGATAATCTCTTTGATTCGGATTGTCTACATTTTTCCCCCAGTTCCTTGTTGTAGAATCTCTCCTATTTGAACCACTTTCATGTTTCAGTTCTGTTTTATTTCTGTATCCTTTATAATTTGCATGCTCATTTTGATTTGGCCAACTTTTTTCATTTCTATATTCCCTATGGTCTAAATTTTCTATGTTTCGTCCCCCCTGCTTGTTGTTTTCTTTTGGATTTGGCCAGATACCACTTCTGTCTTTATAATTAACATTTTCTGCATTTTGCCCCCAGTACCTTGTAGATTCCCTTCTGTTTGAACCACTGTCTTGTCTGAGTTCTATTTGATCTGTATATTCATTTTGATTTCGCCAATTTGCATTACCCTTTTCATGTCTAAATTCTCTGTGAGGTACATTTTCTACGTTTTGTCCCACTTGTTTGGTGTCTTCTCTAATATTTGACCAAGCACTACTTTTGTCTTGTCTAAATTCCTTTTGATTAACATCTTCTGTAGTTTGTCTCTGGTACCAAGCAGATTCCTTCCTATTTAAACCAGTTTCTTGCCTAAGTTCTATTTGATCTATATGTTGACTTGACCAATTTGTATTATTTTTTGGGTCTTTGTGATCCAAGTTTTCTGTAATTTGCTCTTCATTTATTTGAAATACTATCCTTCTCTGAGGATATGTCCCGTTGGTTCTTTCTCTTTTATTTGCATCATCGGTAATTTCTTTAAAACTTTGATAATAAGACTCTTCATTTGGTGGTCTATCTTTAGGAGTATGATCCATCCAATTTTGATTAGAATGTGTAAAGTTAATTGATTTAAAATGTTCAATTTGAGGTTGTTGAACTAAAGGGACTTTATGAAGAAAGTTACTGTTTGGTAATAATTCTTCATAACTCTCATTCTTTTGTATATAGTCAATTTTTGGTTGATAGCTTAATTGATTTATATTTGTAAAGTTTGAATTTATAATTGGCTGACCTGAATTTATAACTGGCTGGCCAGGTGGCGTCTCTCCAATCAAACTAGCGGTGGCTCTCTGTTTCGGTACAAATTCTGCAGCATCTGCATTCAAATTTGATATTATGACGATTTCAGAAGTAGGTTTACTTTCATATTCAGGCGGACACGAAGGTGGAAAATTAGGGTAAATTTGGGTCGGCGGAGGCGGTCCATACTGCGATGGGGCTCCTGCATTATACGGCATAAAGCACGGTTGATTGTTAAAACTTTGTAGTGCTGGAATCATTGGCAACTGATTAACTTGATTTATTTCCATGTCATTTTGTGAATAGGGATCGTTTCTGCTAAGAATCATTGCCATGGACGATTAACTACTTTTTTTATTATTTCAAACTTCAATTGAATAGATAAGATTGCTTTAAAAACAGTAAAAATAAAAAATGGGTATTTAACATTTAACCAATAAACAAATGCCAACGAATTTTGACAGTTGACACGTATTGGTTTAGGCGTGTTCTTTTATTCGGCGCTGTATCCAGTGCTTGCAGCCCTAAATTAAGTGAAGGAAAGCACAGGATCACAGGGTCGATTCCACCCATATTCCACCGTTGTGTTAAACAGAGATTAAAATGACATTGTTAATGTAAAAATGTCATTTTAAACTTCGTTTAACACAACGGTAAAACCGGTCCTTACCAATGAACTGGAGTACGAAAATATTTTAAAGGCCGCCAATTTTTTTTAAAGGCCTTTAAAAATATTGGCGGCCTTTAAAAATATGTTCGTATTCGTTAATTTACTTCTGTCATTATTTAAATAGATTTCTTTAAAGGCTGTATGTCACGATACTGAATTAAGTACTAAATTTAGAACTAAATTAATGCATTTTTTAAGTACTAAAAAAATTCACGTTGCAAACAGCAAATTTAGTACTAAATTTAGTACTAAAAAAAGTCATTAATTAATTAGATCTTGTTCTATTTTCTACTAAATTTAGTACTAAAAGTGCGCCGAAATGTTGCGCAGAAGTTTTTCATAGAAAAAGTTGACACGACGGTATTTTCTGTACCCTTTTATTTTTAATTAGCGACAATTTCACATTATCGCCTTGAATAAAGTTCGCCTGTTTGATTTTGTAGGTTTTATTGTGTTTTTCCGTGGTTTTTATGCTGTATTTGGTTGTCAAGTCAACTAGTATCAAATTGATAATAAAAACACCATTTACTTCACTTGTCTGTTTTACACAGAATATTTCATTTCTCTGCTAATTTCACGTATAATACGTCAATGCGCGTGTGCGCCCATAGTAAATTTAGTACTAAAAATTGGTATCGTTGCAAACGGAAAAAAAATATTTTTAGTTCTAAATTTAGTACTAAATTAATGACTTAATTTAGTGCTAAATTTAGTACTTAATTTAGTATCGTGACATACAGCCTTAAGATAGTAAGAAGGTCTTTTCCTTTGCATCGAAAGTGTAGCACTGAGCTACACCACTTCTGAAAATATCGTTCCATTTATACAAATTGTATGGATGGAACGATATTTTCAGAAATGACGTAGTTCAGTGCTACAGAAGGCGAGTTCGGTCAGTCAGGGGCTGGAGCGGGACAAATTTTAAATGACATTTAAGCGTGTTAAACTGTCACTAATCGGACTAAACCTAATGCTAAAAGGGTCGTTTGGAGTTAAAAGTGTTAAAGGAGTTAAAGGAACTTGGCAGACCGAACGCAATGACTGTGGATGCAAAGGAATAGACCTACTTTAATTACACTGTGCTTTGTGGATTACACGGTGCAAGAGAGAGGTCCGACACGCCCAACATAGGACGCGGCCATTTTGATGCCTTTACCACAGTTTATAGCTAAAGAATCGGTTCGCTCACTCTGCGTTGGCACTTTTGATCTCAATTTTCCAGTTTATACATTGCGCAACTCGGATAATACAATATATGACAACCGTCTATAATAAAACAGCAGTCTTCTGCGTATCCTGAATTTGTATCCCTGGAGTGGATGTTATTTTGGAACTTTCAACTGGTCCGAGTGAGCTAACTGATTCTTTAGCAATAAACTATGACTCCAAAAATAACATTTACTGACACTGACAGCAGCAAGCAAAATATCAGGTGCGTTTTAATCATCCGTTTCTGCTTCCGGAATTGTCAGATTAGTCGTTTTAACCTGTCAGATTAAAACAAGAAAACCGACAATTGCGAAGCAGAAGCGGATGATTAAAACGCACCTATTAAAAATATTGCGCCAAGATGTAGGCAACACGTAATAAGGCATCAAAATGGCGGAGTTTTCTATCTCCTTTTAAAAGGCACTCAGAAAGCTGTGCAGTGCGACCATTCTCCATATAGTAAGAGAAAAATCAAAATATTTGCTTGAATCTCAAAATTCGAGACCTGGGGGTCGATTCTCGACTTTTATTCCCATGGGAAAATAAAATTTTCCCATGGGAATTCAGTTTTCGTATTCTCGGCATAAGCGGTGGAATATTTTCCAATGAGAAGTATGGGAAAATATTCCCCTGCTTGCGAGCATTGGAAATTGTGTTTTCCAATGGGAATTGTACTAGAGTTTGCGCATTAAAGTCGAAAATTTGACGAAAGACCACGCGAAAGACTAAGACATAACCAAAGATTATTGGATATCTTGGATTTTTGGTGAAATTGTAGTTAAAACATGTTTTTTGTGTATTTATAAATTGATATTATTTTATTTATGTGGGTATATTATTTTTACCTCTCTTTCACTAAGAAACTGATTTTCTTAAATTAGTTAGAAATTGTGGGAGCTGCTAAGGGACTGGCAAATAGATAACACAAATTGAGAAATTTGTAGTAAATTTAATAAGACCTTTTCGAAAATTTTATTATTTCCGTTAACGGAAGAATTTCTTATATATATAGTTTCTCGAAACTTTCGTTGCTCTTTTATACAAAAGCTACTTTTTCTTTTTTCAATATGTGAAAAGAAAAACTAAAAATAACTCGATAAGTTTTAATTATACATAATCGAATATTTTCACTTGTCCTCGGTCAAGCTAGCGATTGCTCGGCACGGCATCTGCTCCAGCGCAGAGGCTCGGCAGGTAATCGGTTACCCAAAAACCACAACAAATACAAATAATACCAACAGTAAATTTTAAAATATCTTTAATGTTATTGGTTATTTCGAAATATTCGTGAACTTAATATCAGACATACGTGAAACTATTATTTCCATGGGAATGTCTATTCCGACAAGTTCGAGAATTGCATAACCTATTACCATGGGAATATAAGTAGTGGAATCTTTTCCCATGGGAAAATTTTCCAATGAACTCGAGAATCGAGCCCCAGTCAAGTGTGCAGTCAACAAATTATTTATCCGCTTTTGTCTAATAGCAGCTAATAGCTAAAATTATTCATCATAAAAAATAAAATGTGTTTGAAAAATACAATAGTTTTCACTGCTCAGATATAATCACAGTAATGGAGTCTGAAAGCAAAGCGGGCATTTGTGGTATATGCCGCATTTCAGGACCTCTGTCTCTTTCTATTAAAGGTTTTTCAATTTTCTTCACTTTTGCTCACTGTATTGAGAAAAGAATCACAAAAATTAAAGTGAGGTTAGGTTTCTTACCCTGTTTCATTTGATTTAATGCTATATTGTGACGTCATCACTTCACGGTCTACTTGATGCTCGCTCGATCGAGTTCAAATCAAACGACTCTTTTATCACGATGGACGGTACATGTTTAAGAAAAATTTGAAGGGGACGATGCGAAGTTGCCACTGCGTCAAAAATCTTGGATTCTGGCGATTTTTCTTACAATAGTGAAAATTTGGCAAATGAATTTGCATTACCATGAAAAAAATACAATACCAAAAATAAAACAGTTAATTGATTAATTTATTTAAATAATTTAAAATCTCAACAAAGATACGTTTATGACAATAAATATAATACTTAATTGCACAATCTAATGTACAAAGTTTAAATAGTTCTATCGAAATAAGAACTTATTTTTTTGTCATCTCCAATTTGCTGATAACGGCGTAGGTAAACTGTTGCGTGGTAGATTGTCCCCCAACATCTTTCGTTTTGACTTTGCCGTCTCTTAAGACATTTTCAACAGCATTACGAATCATATCACCATAGTAATGTAGATTCACATGTCTGAGCATTTTCGATGCGCACAAAAGCATCGCCGTGGGATTCGCTACGTTTTTTCCCACCGCTTCTGAGAATGTGTGACGCGCACCCTAAAAAAATATTCCAAATAAATTATAAAGATATGGAACTTTGAAAATTAGCGGCTTACCGGTTCAAAAACGACGCAATTAGCTGAGTACGAAGCCCCGGCGACTATACCAGCGCCACCTACGAGTCCGGAAGCCAAATTGTCGACAATGTTGCCGTAGAGGTTGGGCGTCACCATGACGTCAAATTGTTGCGGATTGGACACCATCTGCATGGTGCAGTTGTCAACTATCATTTTTTCAAATTCTATTTTCGGGTACAGCTTGGCCATCTGCAATATTAGTCATTACATTGTTGATGCTGATTTATTTATTCATTTAAGTAATTTACAGGGTAATACAGTAAGTCCTTGTCCTTGCTTACGGTCAGTAGCGTAACGACTAGATCATTGTTTGTTTCTTGTTTCTGTGTTTTGGTTAAATTGACTGGTTTTATTTTTGATAATGTCTTCTATAGTGGGTGAAAAAAGCGCAGATCTGTTATTAACGGACAAAGTCGTGAAGTAATATACAATGTTTTTAAATATTTTGACGCAACAAAAAAGGAAGGAGTTACTTTAGATGATATCAAACTTCAAACTGCACAAGCAACAGGTAAACATACTCTGTAGTTTATTTGCAATTAAACTTGCGTACTTTTCCATATTTTTTTGTATTTTACATACATATCTATGCATTTTATTTTTGATTAATATTTTATATTTAAATTTTTAAAACGAGTCGCCACCTTATCGGGCTTTCGCCAGCGGATCGCTGGCGATGCGCCGAAATGAATCTCTGGTGAGTAGCTGGCGATCGACTATGCATACGGCTGTAAATAGTGCAGTTGTGATGCTTCTTCCCAGTGTTGACAGCTGAAAATTTGATGGAAAAGTACATGGGTGAAAAAAATATCGAAACCATGCGGAAATAATTATAATTTGCTGTTATAAATAAAAAAATAAGTAAATATATATATAAAAAAAAGAAAATTAATATTTTTGGCTTATAACTAACAAATTACAAAATAAAACTTTGTAACACTTAATATAAGGATAGGTATTTTTTTCCAAGGAGTCTGAATCAGATAATTCAAGTAACATGTTTTTATTATGTTTATTATGTTGTATTTTAAATCAAAACATGATGATCGTCTTGTAGTTAAATAATTTTTTTACAATACCTGGCTGTGCCAACATATTTGACTTCAGCAAATTTACTTAGAAAAATATCCTCTTCACTTGCTTAAGAATGAGGCAAACATAATAAATTATGAACAACATTTTTCAAGTTGGAGAAATCAGTAGATTTCATGCCAAAAACAGGAGACCGCTACGCCAGAATAACAAACATGCACCACGAAACATCCATGCCCACTGTCAAAGATTACATTGCTGCAGTCGCTGAGAAATTCTACACACACAGTCTCCCGAATAACGTCAAGAAAGACATACTATCACAGCACAGCGGAAATGCCGGGAACAGGAAGCATGGATGCTTACATGAGAAGTTGGACCTTTACAGACGGGACAATCAACAATAAAAAACGCAGCAACGCCCTTCTCACTGCGACAAATCCACTAAATAACTATTTTACTAGGACAGAAAACTGCACCCTACGAGAAGTCGTTGCTTCGTCTTCTTGTTGTCACGGCATTATTATTATTTGTTCATGTATGTGAAATTTGCTTCTAAGGTTTATAAAATACTACTGCTAGTCACGGCGTAAATGAAAACAAACAAGACGCATTCACACAAACACCTCCCACCACAGCTAGTGTTGTCCCCGATACGCGAGTGCCATGATCCCCTCACTGGCGATGGATTTCACTGTCCAGTCGAGTAAAATAGTTATACACAGACATAGACTATACAAAATGATGCACATACATACAAGGACAAACCTGGTTTTTCAAAGTTTTTTTTTTCCCAGGGAAGACAATCACAAGTAAATTCCCACAAAAACTACCATAATCCAATTTTCGATCGCCAATATTGCCATATAATATCGTCTGATAAGGAGATGGCACGACAAATTCAGAAATTATAAATTGGATATTTGGTATTTCGGGCTAGGGCGTCGAGCTCAGGCAGCCAGGCCAGATGCTTCGACTCGAATTTTCGCGAGTGTGAATTAAATCTTTGTCTGTTTATACCTTGTTCAATGATCATGTACATAGTAAAATTGTAAATAAAGAGGTTTTTAAAGTAAAAAAAGGAGAACAGTAGAACAGACAAAAACTTTAGAACAGACAAAAACAGTATAGACCTACTGTTAAAACAGTAAGTTTGGCAAAACTGCATCAACCATTGATATAGGGAAAGAGTACAAAGTGATGGGATCACGTGAACGTATATGTGTATAGAGGATATTCAAAAAGTTGAACTCAACGTGACAGATGACATGAAAAGTGACGTGTACATGTGACAGTGAGACTAGAGCCAGGACAAAAATAATATGTGAAACAGTTAAAAAATGTACAACTTATTTTAATTAAATCCTTAAAATCGGGTATTTTCCCCAAACAATTAAAGACATCAATGCTAAAACCTCTTTTTAAAAATAAAGATGATCCAGTTACTTGAAAATTATAGACCCATTAGATTGCTAGTGTCATGAAGGAAGAAAATGTATTTAATAATTTCCAGCATGGGTATATATCAAAAAGATCTACACAAACAGCAATATTTGATTTCACAACTAATATTATAAATTTGCACTGGGTATCTTTATATCGGGAACAGATAATCAGCATTACAAATAAGGGAAAGTACTTTCAATCGGGAAAAATTAATACCACAGTAGGGGTTCCACAAGGAAGCATTATGGGACCACTATTATTTATAACTTACTTCAATGACTTATCATCAGTACCAACTAACACAAAACAAATAATAACAAATTATGTAGATGACCCCAACCTACTAGTGGGAGGGGAAACAATACCAGAGGCAGTGATCAATGGTAATTCACTTTTACAAAGAACAAAGGAAGGGTTTTCACAAAACAAGCTGGTACTGAATGCAGAGAAAACTCAATTAATATTATTCAGATCCAAATATAGGCAAATAGATAGAACAAATAATATTTCCTTGTGCAATCAAGAGGTGGATTTAAGAAATAGCACAAAATTTCTTGAATTCCATCTGTACGAATATCTTAGCTGGTTGAATCACATGGATAACCATTCTATTAAGTTAAGTAGGTTAGCATATGGTTTTCGAATCACCAGTAAATATTTGCATAAAAAATCTGTCAAAATAATTTACTCGGGTAGTTTTGAAGCGGTATGTAAATATGGCATATTGTTTTGGGGCCGAAGCTCAGAAGTTACAAGAATTTTTGTATAAAATTGTATAATGTGCATTACCAGTTAACATAAAAACCATTAACAGTAAAATGTTTCAAAAAACGCATACGAGAATTATTGATTGGCATGGAACCTTATAGCATGTCAGAATACCTAAATTATAACTTTAATTAAGTCATCATTAGGTAGTAAAGTTGTGACGTCATTTCACTAATATGTTATTTATGTTTATACATTGTCAGGAAATAAAGATTATTATGATTATGACTAATATGGCCTTTATTTGTACATACAAAAAAAAAGAAATGTACATTTGATTGTGCCAGATTTAGCCCAAAGCCATTTTTTTTTGTTTTTACACCATTTGAAGGTTCTACTACTTTCCCATTCACCAATTCACTGTCATTCATTCCACGTCGTCGACAGTTAAACCCTAGTAGGCTAAGTCCCAAGCTGGAACGTCATCCTTTCATGACATGACTGGAGAGATCACTACTTAACTGTTGTGAGAATGTGGATGCACACTTATCTAGCCACTAGCCTGTAAAGTGAGGCTATTCTTACATATAACCCTATGAACTTCATGGATATTTTTAATAATCAATAAATAAATGTTTTATACAATAGATGTAAGTTCCAGTAATAAATTGGCGAAGAAAAAAAAATTAATACACTCAAGAGAGCAAACCAAACACCTTGAAAGTTTATAATTCCTTCAAAGTCTTTATTTAAAATCCGATTTTTGTGAAATTTTTAGGAAATATCAATAATAAAAAACCTTGAATTTTTTGTAAACCTTCAAAAAGTATTTATTTTGAAAATTTTTAAAAGGGATTGCCAAAAAAAAAACAATTGTCAGCAATTATGTATTAAATCTATGAAAATTTGCTACTTTTTGTTTTAATAAATATCTAGTAGTTTTTAAATTGGAGGAGTTCCCACCTTTTTTATTCTTGTTAAATATCTGTAGAGTGCTGCTTTATTTAAAGCTCTCAATATTTTCGAGGCACATATCGTGAAGTATTCCCAGTGGCACCCATATAAATACAATTTTATATTAGAACATTCATAAAACCTTTTTGATTTCGCGAGAGGTCCGGTTTGGTCTTAAATATATTATTTTATAAACAATACATTATTGAAAAATAAAAACACTTACCTCCTCACAACTTCTCAAAAAAAGACCATCTCCCAGTTTCATAATATTGGCCTTATGTACAGCAGTTACCTTCTTTCTATTATTCTTTGTGGCATAATCAAAAGCAAACTTAGCAATCCTTTGAGATTTCTTAGCAGTGACGATTTTTAAACATTCCACAATCCCTTTGACACCCTCATGCTCTAAAGCTGAGTATTCCCCTTCAGTTTGTTCTCTAATAATAACACAATCAATTCCAGTGTGTCTAGATTTGACACCAGGAAGTGATTTTACATGTACTACATTTGCATATAAATCCAAAGCATTTCTCAGCTTCATATTTAATGTTTGTAGCTCACCTGTGTGACTGTAATCAGGTGTAGCTAAGATACCTTTTAGGCATACTCTATTTTTTGAAATGCTTTCTGCTACTTTGTCAAGGGGGGCACTAAGGGTGGGATTAACCTCTGAAAAAAAGTATGCTTCGAAATCAACTGGGATGCCTACTGCTTTGAACACTTCTTGAACTGAGTACATTAATTCAGGTCCAACACCATCACCAGGAATCATAGTACAAGTTGTCCTGACTTCTGGACGATCTGCAATTCCAGTCTAAAATGGGTTTTAAGAGGGTTAACAATGTTGGTATTTGGGATATTTTTTGGTACTTACTGCGAGACATCGTGTGTGCCTTTTTGGTACAACGTTCAGTGCCTACAAAACGAAAAAGTAAAATAAAAAAAAACATTTTTATTAGCAAGTTTACAATGTAATTTATAAAACCCCAACATTTTATGTTAGTTGCAAGTTACTAGAAAACAATTACAACAATCTTAAAACTATAGGTAAACATTTCCTGGTCTATATATAGTGTTATATCACCATTATGGATTTGATTAATTTAAAACTATTTTTAACTTACTTGTACTAAAAGTCTTGGGACGTTCCTTGTACCCGCAGCCATGTTTGGTGGTGGATATCAAATTTATTATGCGTTATTCCTAAATTCAAGCCTAATTTATCGTTATTTTAGGCCTCCTTTTTGAGTCACAAGTACAATTTTGACGTTTCGCGACTAAAAGTGTGGTTAAAAAAATCGTCTATCAATTTATTATGGCCTCTTCCCAACTCACATTTAGCCACTCAACGAGGGAAACGGTAACTTGAAGTTAGGATTAGTTCAATTTGCACGTAGCTGAAAGCTTTACGAGGGGCGTACGATTATTGAGAATAAAAAATTATTTTTTATAAATGAATTTATTTCGAATATTTGCGAGCGTACATACAGTCTTTTTAATTCATAAAAAAATAATACTAATGTGCAGCTTACTACCTAGCTTATATTATAAAAGATCTTAAGGGCACTGGTGGTTTCTATATATCTACATCTAAATACTATTAATCATATTTTATACTTATAAATTACATACGAATATAACAATTAATGCTATAAAAAATATAAATTAAATACTATCTAACAAGATTTATAAAAAAACCTATTGCTTGTATAAGTTGAAAATTGGACAATTACATTATCAAAATTGATGTTGAATTGTCATTTTTATTGCTACCTAAACTAATTTAAGAATGTGCTATACATTATTCATTAAATAATCTCGAATCTAATTGCCATATTTATAACAATGAAATTTCATCACATTATTTCCTTGTCATGGTTTAAATCATGAAAATTGCTTATACATATTAATTACTAAATACAAAAAAATAGATGCACTAAACACATTTAAAATAATCAAAATTTCGGAAATGTACTTTTTATGAGATCAAAAGATATTAAAATTTTCGTTGTATTTGGAGTCATCTCATGCTGCAAATATATTTTACAGCCATTTAACAGTTAGCAATTCTTCTTGCTGCCACATTACATTTCGCAATTCATTGCAAAACATTTGCCAGTAGGGGATAGCCGAGTTCCTGCTTATAGATGCAACAACAAAATAATTCCTTATTTTTACAAGTTCTTACTAATAAATACACAGTAAAATTTGGTTTATTATAAAACTAATCCAGCCTTCCATATAGTCCTTCAGTTATGATAGCAGGTTCGCTAAATTAAGGAAAACAAGCAATAATATTTAAAACAGGAATCATTTATAATTCTTTCATTCTTCCACAAAAACCATGTTAAATGCCATAAATGTAAACTCTAGTGATTTTTAAACAGATTGGCGTTTATTTCCGCCATCTTCCCCCCAGAATTTCAACTTCCAGCAATGCATTTTCAGTCTGTCCCTATTGCTGCAATTTTACTTGCAGGCAAGAAAAATTGCAAATTGCAAAGTGGCTCTTAAACAATTTTATAATGCATAAGGAATTCGCTGAGATCTTAAAATTACTTTTAAACTGATATATTAAAAAGAGTCATAATTAATCATTATGACATTTAAGGGGTCTAAATTAAAAAAAAAAGATCACATAACATTACAAAATTCTTTCTATGCTTTACCCTGGTTTAACATAAATACATTTGATTCATTAAAACTTTCCATGTATTTGTAATTTTTGGAAGCTAAGAATTGTTTAACAGTGAGTTTTTCAGTATCATTTGCATTTAGTTGTACATTTAATACCTTAATATGGACTCTATCAAAAGGTACAGTTTCTAATACTAGTAACTCGGAACCACCTGTCTCTAGAATTAAATAATCAATGTTTGTAATATTTGTAGCTAAAAGTAGGGAATATAATGGGAAACATTTTACCCTGGTATTAAACCAGTCACTATCATCCATGTCTAGTAAACTAGAATGAATACTGTTCATTTTTATGCCCTCATTTTCAGGATGAAGAGACACTTCTTTTGGATAAGGTGAGGGACTTAAACAACCATGTATAGCTTGGGAGTGTTTCCTATTGTGCCGCCTTAAACTGAAGTAGTGTCTAGGATCAGGTTGTATCAAAAGTCCCTGCCAACCCAGTTTTTCTTCCAACCATTCAGTTTTTGATGTTCTACCATCATTATAAGCACCAGCTTCTACAAAGAACCCCTTTCTCTGCAAGAAAATAATTCTATTTTGTACATATGGTTCAAATTTTACCCCAATTTTAAACTTACCTTATTATGTAATAAGTCAATAACATAAGCTGTGTCTTCAGATATTTCATCCTCAGACTTCAATGGTTTATGATTTGGTTCAATAGCTGGAGTAAGATGAACCTCTCTAATATACATTATTAGTTGGGGATCATCTTGTGAAACTCCAAGAAGATCATAATCTTGACTCATATTGACCCGGAATTGATAATGTTTAATAGCTATAAAGTATTTCTCAGTTAAACGTTTAATTTAATTAATTACCATGTTATCAAAATCAATTAATTTTAAAACAACTCACCAGTATTATCCATGTAGACAATTAGAACAGTCATAACTGTAGTAAATGCCATAAAAAACGCTGCTAAAGGTAATAACTTCCTTGTAACACTCGTTACACTCTCCAAATGTGATAATTTTCCTATTGTTAACATATCAGATACATTATTGTCTGGTTGAGACGGATTTTGGCATTGATTCGGGAGAGTCATTTTAACTTTTCTGAAAATAATTACTACATTTACTAAAATAAATAATTTTTGATTGAAAATCACACAACATTAAATTCATTTATTGAGGAGCAGGTGCATGTTTGGTTCGTCAGGAATCAGGATAAACATTCAAAACGAATTATCTATACGTTATAAAATACTTACTGAGAAGAAACGATTTAAACTTATTCAAGAATCACGAATTAAATACATGAAAAGAACCTTCATAGATTAAAAAGTAAAGGAAAACAAAATTTTAAAAAATTATAACAGTTCATTAGCCATCAACTTATAGCCAAATTGACAATTGACAAATGACAGTTGACTTTATAACTAAAAAGAAAGAGGCCCTTCATAATTATTCTTTTCCTCTTCTACTAACAAACGATTCTATTTTCTTCTATCAGCATTATAGGCCTTCACTACAATATTAATTTGGCAATACTCTTTCTAGCCTTTGATTTATTTATTAATCAGCGTTCCATTTTGCTTGTGCTCTCGAAAAATTGCTAATGTCATCGTGCCTTCTTGACGTTTAAATTTGACAGTGACAACTTGTATTACTCATCTAACCCCTGGGTGGTGGGGAATGAACACATTTTTAATTTTAATCCTGAATTAATTCTATTTATTTTATTGTGTGATAAGGTACTCGAGATTTAGATCTATTTATTCAAAATGTCAAACAACAACAGTTATAGAACGGTGTACGCGTTCGCCAGAGAAATGTATCCAAAGAAAAAGGACACCTATTTGCAATATGGGACAGCGGGTTTTAGGACCAAGTAAGTAATTTTATTGAATAATTGTGACATAGGGGTTGGGATAAATGGATTTTTTATTTGTAGAGCTACCGAATTGCACCATGTAATGTACCGTATGGGGTTATTAGCTGTCCTTAGGGCAAGGTACAAAAAAGGTAGGTTTTTAATTGTTTTATTGTGTGAAAATTGCATGTAACAAATCAATTGAAAAGTGAAAGTATTCATTAAAGTGCAATTATCTATGGTAATTATTCAGCTCAAGCAGTTTTTCGTAAAATATTGATAATTTAATGTGGGATTAATTTTTAATCTGATTCTGAATAAGATTGTTATTTGAGTATCTTATGAAATATGTCTATTTTTGTATAGATATCATAAAATTGAGTGATAGAAATATAATTTATAATTAATAAAATAGAATCTGTAGATTGCACTTATTAACATTAAAAGTATAAAGTAATTTTGCACTTAAATGAGTCCTTACATTTTTACTGCACTATTTGCAATTCTTAAAATAGCTTAAAAATGCGAATAATTCTTTCACAAGGAGTGGCTGTTCTAAATTTAAATAAAACTAATTGAGAAAATTGTATAGCCACATTTACAATTCATTCTTCATAACAAGACAAAAAGTCTGTCTTTTGTGGCTTTATAACAATTTGGGTATAGGGTTAAAATTTTGATTTTAGGAGTAATAGGGGTTATGGTCACTGCTTCTCACAATCCAGAGGCAGATAATGGGGTAAAAATTATTGATCCACGAGGGGAGATGCTTGAAGAGGCCTGGGAATCATGGGCCACCAAGTTTGCAAATGTTGTGTAAGTTAAAAACATAGTAAAAGGAATAAACACATACATTTTTTAAACAACTTTGAAGAAGTTAATCCCTAATTCCATGCTTTGCTTTTTTGAGTTCTACAAACAAATTTTATTTATATAAATCATACAGAACAATTGATATTATTTTATTTTAAAAATAAATAAACATGTTTTTTTTTCAATTAATATAGGTATCTAATAATAATAATAATAATAATCAACACCCATTAAATTTTACTAATATATTTCTGATATGCTTTCTCTGAAATGATTACATTTGATTTGGCACTAATCATTATTGCAGATATCAACACTTAATCATTTTGCTTTTATTGCTTTGTGCTGGAATTGAGCAAACATTACCATTTTCACTTATAAGTTTTATTGACAATTGACCTTGTTGAACTCATAGATTTATATTTCAGAAGGCTAGTTAATTAATTCGATACTGATTTGCAGTTTAATTAAACCACTAGTTTTATGTTTCTTCCTTGTTAGTATATATTGCAGATTTATGAGATAAAATACAGCATTGATGGTTAAATAGAACCTTTTGTGTAGGAAACTGGTGTTTCTCAAATGTTTGCCTTGTTTTACTAGTTATAAGGACTTGTGGGGCTTTAGAATCTAGAACATCATATTGAACAATATTTTTTGACTATAATTTGAAGCATATGCAGGATGTCCCAATCAAAAAATACTAGAGATATTTTAATTATGTAACATCAATTGTATTTTTTTGCTCTATTAGGTTCAGAATTAGTTTTAGTTTCAAAGCATTCTCTTTGCTTCACAAACTGTACATCAGTAAAATATCTATTCTTTAAACAAAGTCTGGTTTTTTTGTACATCCTGTCAGTAGCGAAGCTAGGGGGTGAGAGGGGGCACGAAAGTGAGGAGGTGGAAAATGTGTTCTATATTTTTGTACCAAAATGTTTCATACCATTACAAGTATTTTCAAATCGTACTTAACAAAATACAATATAATTTGATAATATAGAATTTTATTATTTCAGCTGGTAATAAAACATTTAATTAGCCTGCTCCCCTCCCCCCTTGGAATATTTCCGAGCCCCGTCCCGTAGTTGGCGCCTATGATTAGATGAGTAAAGGTACCATATTTTACCAATTTTTCAAATTTTGAGATATTGCAATGTTTATGTATACAGGGTTGGGATAAAGTATGGAACCAAGTAAATATCTTTAAATCGAAAAGGACGATATTTGCCATATTTTTTGTTACTGCTGTACTTCCGGTTTCACCGGAAATACCCTCAACTTTTTAAATTTAAAGGGGACACCCTGTATATTTTTGTAGATTTTGAAAGATCTTGGTATTCCGAATTCGTACAGTGTCGTACAAGATCTTTTAAAATCTGCAAAAATATACAGGGTGTCCCCTATAAATTAAAAAAGTTGAGGGTATTTCCGGTGAAACCGGGAGTACAGTAGTAACAAAAAATATGGCATCAGATGCGTTATGCGTCATTGTACTTGCCTGCAAAGTATCATAAATATCGTCCTTTTCGTTTTAAAGATATTTACTTGGTTCCATACTTTATCCCAACCCTGTATACTATTTTGTAGTGCAAATCGCACCTTCCTAGCTCAAACGGTTGCCGAGATATTTAACAAAAACCTAGATTACGAACAATTCATCCGTAATTTAGGTATTTACGTGCGTAGTAATCAAAATCATCCTGTATTTTTACTTTTTTTTTATTTTTTCGAATAATTTACGTCTGTTGAAAAATACTAAGACGAAATTTACTGCAACCCAATTTATTTTCCAAACATTTTAAAAGCGAAACATAACATTCATAAATTCATTGAAGCAAAACCAAAAAATACTCTTTTCTTGTTTACAAGTAAGTCAGTAATGAAATACCATGTATCGGGTCACGAAGACATGAGCGTCACGGAAGAACCGTAACTAGAGGTCAAGCAAATGTCAGCCGGATAATAATTTAACCATATTTTTATTTTTGGGTTTAATGCATTTTTCGCATTAAACAGAAATAGACCTTTAAACTCGTAACTGAAACGGTCGAAGTCCTAATTCATGATAGATAACGATCATTGAAATGCTTAAGAAATGAATTTAATTACTATTTTAATAATTAGTAAAGTGTTTGGGCAATGTACTATGATAACTAGCATTGATAGAACGATAATAAACATTCGAAATATTTAATTGGAATTATTAAAAAAAGTAAAATTAAGGAAAAACGGAATACTTTTGAGCAATGATATTTTAAGATTTTCTAAGTATTTTAACTAGGGTTACCAGATTTACGAAAGTGAAAAGCGTGACAACCGTGATGACGGAGCATCAGGTTCAAATACCATGTATTTCTATATAATCAGGACCATTAATTGTGAAATTTCTAATAAAAGGCCCTTGGTTTGTATTTTTCGTAATTGAGGGTCCTTTACCCGATATTTATCTAAAAAAAAACGTATTCACCTTATATTTTTCTATAAATCCAGTTCCTCCCTTTTTATTTACAACTTTAAATATTAAGAAGCGTGGTATTTTTATAAAAAAATAGGCATTTTTGTCAAAAGCGGGACATTTTGGTACTGTAGCGTTGAGCGTACAAGCAAGTCAAAAAAGCGTGGAAAATACGCCAAAAGCGTGACGTCTGGCAACCCTAATTTGAACCCTTTCGCGACGGATGTTGGACATATGTCCTTTTTTCTTTAATTTGACTCGCATACGGGTATCGGCGGGTATATCCGACATATTTATTGCTTGAGAAACGGTTGACAGTTATATCCGGCTGTTTTAAACATTATTGTGGTCCTGAAACTGTCTTCGGTTTACTCCGTTACACTTTGCGTGGATCAGAGACGAATGTCCGAGTAATCTGGTCCCAACGGAGATATCAGACGGTAGTGGAGCGTATAAACGCAAGGAATCTACGATGCACTCATGTTTTTCAGTACTATTCAATCCAATAGTGTTTAAAATTGCAGTTTCTTTCGATTATAGTCGTTTTCCTTTGACGTATGGTTCTGGTTATGGTTGACGTTAAATTGACAGTATTTTTGACAGCGGTTCAGATTTTGGTTCATATGGATGACGTCATAACAAAAGCCAATGGAATGAATTGGGTTATTGGTTCGGTCAGTCATATGTCATTTTGGTGTAAATTTAAATACCACGTGTGACTCATTTTTAAAGTTATTTCTCAATTTTATTTTCTTTTAATTTTTTGTGTAGTTAGTTATTTGCCAAAGAAAACACTAAAGCTATATGATATAGAAGAAAAAATATTAACTAACTTAAGTCTTTAATATAAAAATAAAATATAAATAAAATAGACACTACCGACAGGGCAATTAACAGAGACGAAAATAATAGGTACTAACTAATTTAAAACTCTTTAAAATAAAATAGAAATAAAACCGACACTGCCGACAAAGCATTTAACGAACGATGCAGACCTTTTTCTAGCGATAAACAGAATGATAATCTTCTTTTGAAAAATAGTGACACATTTTTTGAATCTCATTTCAGTCCAAGATTTAATCTTAATGGTGTTAAAATAAACACACACACGCCCTTGAAGATTTCATCTCAAATACTAAACATTTCTAGGAAGTTTTGTCGATCACTACATATTTTACTTTTATTAACATTATTGTCTAAGTTCTTTTTTCCTTATTCATATTTATAAGAAAAGTGTCTAGTAAGATCTATTTTCAGTTGACCTCGTACGGAACTATTTAGGTTCCGCGGGAAAACTAAATTTAAAAAGTTAGACAATGAAAAGAATACTATTTAAATAAGGATAGAACATACCGCAAATTAGAACCGACTCGCGAGGCTGGTTCAAAAATGTTAACCAAATGGTTATAAGTGACGTCATTGTTTATGAAAGGAATATGGTTGGTTCTAATTTGGTTAACTAGAACCGGAACCAAACCCCAAAGGAAAATGCATAATGTTATCAAAAAAAATGTACATTTGTTTTGATCAGTTGGAAATATCCGACGTCAATCCCCCAGCCAGTACTAAAACGCCCGTTTTTAGATAACTTAATAGATAGGGTTACCAGATTTCCGAAAGTGAAAAGCGTAACAACCATGATGACAAAGCATTAGGTTCAAATACCAGGCATTTTTATATAATCAGGTCCATTTTTTTGTGAAAATTCTAAAATAAAAAGGTCCTCAGCTTATTTTTCGTAAAAACGAGGGTGCTTTACCCGGAGATGTGTCTATTTTTGTATAAATATGGTTCCTCTGCGGCTTTAAATTAAAAAGCGTGACATTTGCATAAAAAGAGTGGCATTTTTGTCAAAAGCGTGGCATTTTCGTACTGTGGCGTTGCGCGTACAAGCAAGTCAAAAAGCGTGGCAAATACGTCAAAAGCGTGACATCTGGCAACCCTACTTTTAGAAAAGTGCCGTCTCGAAAGGGTTAATTCAACAACAATGAAACATTAGTAGCGTCCGGATTAGCCAGGGGCTGGAACGGGACATAGTGTAGTTTTTCAGGGTGCTTTTAAATGACATTTAAGCCTGTTGAACTGTCACTAATCGAAATAAACCACATACTTTGATTACTATACGGTGCAAGAGAGAGATCCGACACGCCCAACATAGGGCGCGTCCATTTTGATTCTTATGCCACAGTTTATAGCTAAAGAATCAGATCGCTCACTCTGCGTCGGCACTTTTGATCTCAATGTTCCAGTTTATACACTGCGCAACTCGGATAATACAATATATGACAACCGCTTATAATAAAACAGCAGTCTTCTGCGTATCCTGAATTTGTACCCCTGGAGTGGATGTTATTTTGAAACTTTCAACTGGTCCGAGTGAGCTAACTGATTCTTTAGCAATAAACTGTGACTCCAAAAATAATATTCACTGACACTGACAGCAGTCGTTTTAACCTGTCAGATTAAAACAAGACAACCGACAATTCCGAAGCAGAAGCGGATGATTAAAACGCACCTATTAAAAATATTGCGCCAAGATGTAGGC